TTATGTGCTTGAAGATATTGTTGCTGCTTCTAGTTTAAGTTGATCTTTTAATTCTGTTTCCATGGTGAATAAAGATGCATTGTGGCATGCTAGACTAGGACACCCACATGTTAGAGCTTTAGGCTTAATGTTATCAGGTGTTGTCATGTTTAAAAACAATGAGTGTGAAGCTTGTATTTTGGGAAAACATTGCAGAGTGTTTTTCAAAATTCTACTACTATCTCTGAGCGTTGCTTCGATTTAATTCACTCTGATGTTTGGACTGCTCCTTGTTTATCTAGAGAAAACTATAAGTACTTTGTCACATTCATAGATGAAAAATCAAAATACACCTGGTTAACACTCATTAAAACTAAAGATTGTGTTCTTGAAGCATTTAAAAAATTTCAGACTTATGTATCTAACCATTAGAATGCCAAGATTAAGATTTTCAGGTCAGACAATGGTGGAGAGTATACTGGTCATGCATTCAAGCAACATTTAGCTCAACATGGAATCCTTCATCAAACAAGCTGTCCTTATACTCCCCAACAAAACAGTGTTTCTGAAAGAAAGTACCGACACTTCATGGAGGTTGCTAGATCAACGATGTTTCAAACCTGTGTTCCAAAGAGATTTTGGATTGATGCGGTTACCTCTGCGTGTTATCTCATTAATAGGATCCCAACCAGAGTACTAGAAGACCAATCTCCATTTGAAGTGTTGAATAGAAGCAAACCAGCATTGGATCACTTGAGAGTATTTGGGTGTTGGTGTCAAAATCGGTTACACCGGAATCAATGGCAAAAAGTCTCCGCAGAAAATATAAAAGAAATCGTTTTATAAACTCGAAGAATCGTTTTATAAAACTCGAAGAATCTTTTTATAAAACTCGAGAATCGTTTTATAAAACTCAAGAATTGTTTTATAAAACTCGAAGAATCGTTTTATAAAACTCGAGAATCGTTTTATAAAACTCGAAGAATCGTTTTATAAAACTCGAGAATCGTTTTATAAAACTCGAAGAATCGTTTTATAAGACTCGAGAATCGTTTTATAAAACTCGAAGACCGTTTTATAAAACTCGAGAATCGTTTTATAAAACTCGAGAATCGTTTTCTAAAACTCGAGAATCGTTTTATAAAACTTGAGAATCGTTTTATAAAACTCGAGAATCGTTTTATAAAACTCGAAGAATCGTTTTATAAAACTCGAGAATCGTTTTATAAAACTCGAAGATCGCTTTATAAAACTCGAGAATCGTTTTATAAAACTCGAGAATCGTTTTATAAAACCTCGAGAATCGTTTTATAAAACTCGAAGACCGCTTTATAAAACTCGAGAATCGTTTTATAAAACTCGAGAATCGTTTTATAAAACTCGAGAATCGTTTTATAAAACTCGAAGAATCGTTTTACAAAACTCTAGAATCGTTTTATAAAACTCAAGAATCGTTTTATAAAACTCGGGAATCGTTTTATAAAACTCGGGAATCGTTTTATAAAACTCGAGAATCATTTTATAAAACTCGAGAATCGTTTTATAAAACTCGAAGATCGTTTTATAAAAACTCGAAGAATCGTTTTATAAAACTCGAGAATCATTTTATAAAACTCGAGAATTATTCTATAAAACTCGAAGATCGTTTTATAAAACTCGAGAATCATTTTACAAAATCTCAAAAAACCGAAACCGCCGCAAAACGCGAACTAGTCACGACTAGTTCGCCTGCTGGCGAACTAAGCCGAGCTGGCTTAGTTCGCCAGCAGGCGAACTAGGAGCCTCTCCGCTAGCTCGCCTGCTTGCGGACTAAGCCGGGCCGGCTTAGTTCGCCAGCAGGCGAACTTGAAGTCCCTCGACAAGTTCGCCTGCTGGCGAACTAAGCCAAGCCGGCTTAGTTCGCCAGCAGGCGAACTACTGACTTTGCCCCACAGGTTATTATCGCCTAGTTCGCCATATGGCGACCTGGCCAAGCTGAACTAGCTCGCCGTACGTCGACCCGACCATCCCGAGCCTCGATCTCCCACATCCTTGATTCAAGGCATACGTCTTTCGACACGATCGTATTCCGAATCACGGTTGAAATGTCTCCCATTTCGTCTCGATCCGTCCTATCGTTCGAATTTTACGATAAAAACTGTAAAACTCTGTTTTCTCGAAAAGAACTCGAGGAAATCATGTTAAACGGCAACGGTTAAACGAAACTCCGAATATTTCCTAGACTATACGATTTATTCGAGATTTTTCGTAAAAATCGTACAAAACGCGTTTTTAATAAAACCCCGAGTAAATCGTAGAAAACGGCAACGATTAATCGAAACATCAAACATTGCTTAGTTTTACGATTAACTCGAGAAACTTACGTAAAACGGCATCGTATCAGGAAACGATCTCGTCTAAAGTCGTAAAACGGATTTACCGCAAAACGGCTCGGAAATTCATAAAACGTGATAAAAACCACTCGCGACTTTAAACAAAGTCCAACCCGAAGATACGACGACGTTTTGGCGATTTACTCGCAGAAAGAAGATAAAATGTCAAACTTGAAGATAAATGTCAAGTTTGAGGATAAATAGAAGATTTCCGCGGGAAAAAAGGAAAGATCGAGATAAATGGAAGATTCTCATTAAACTCGAATCTGGGTGAAATGGAAAGCCTAAACCGCCTAGGAATGGAGTATATAAGCAAGAGGCATAGGGCAGAAGCAAAGGGACGAAAATCAGAGCTCTCATCTGAGACTTTCACAACTTTTCTACACTTAGAATTTTCCGCGCTTAGAAACTTAGGCTTTTTCTCGACTAGTTCGGTTTCTATGACTGGCGCTCAATCACTAGACGAACTCGCCCAGGCAGTTCGATCTCTTGTCCAGCTCAATCAACTGAACTACGTTCGACTTGATCCTAGAAAGGGGTACGTAGGCAGCCTTTCATAAGGTTCAGTCCGAAATCGTTCAAATCCTTTTTCTTATCTTTTTTCGTCTTTTGTTATCGAGCTGCGACTCAATTAGGTTTAAGGTTTTTATGTTGATAACTCGCTGACGGCCTTGCGGCCAAAGCCTTTGTAAACCCTTGTAACGATCGCAATGCTTTTACGCGAAATTGAAATAAGATCTACTTTTTCTTTAAATTCGTTTTATTACGTTTTTCGTATTTTTCCGCATTTATTTGGTTACTTGTCGTTGGCTTTCGCAGAGATCCGGTTCCTCTGGAAAATTAGGGTTTTCCTAAGTTTCCTTATTTAACGAAAATCGACAAGTGTGAATTTCAGTTCCTACATTGGGTGTTTATGCTTTGTGCTGGTACCAGGGGAATTGATGAATAAACCTGAAGCTAAGAGTACAAGAGCGATATTCGTTGGGTACTCCACAACTCATAAAGGATATAAATGCTTTCACTACAAAAAAAGTCTACATTGATAGCACATTGTTATAGCACGTTTTACTGAACTGCTATCGTAGTTGACTTACAAATTTTCGTATTATATAATAGCATTAGATAAACGCTATGATAGAGAAAAATTTAAAATAGCACTTAATTAATGCTATTTTGAAAATTACGTGAGCGGGAAAATAAAATCACCAGTTTCGCCAATATTTAGCGGAAATTTAGATTTAAGCGCCAAAAAAATTATTTAAGCGGCTTAATAAAAATATCAAAGACTTATAATAGCATTTTTATAATGCTAAGAAAAGCTATTTGAACCCCTAAACCTTAAACATGGTTTTAAACCCTAAACTCTAAACACAACTCTTAAAACTCTAGTCTTTTCACATTATAACTTCAAATCTTAAACTAAAACTTAAAATTTAATCTTTTTAATCTTAAACTATAATTTCCTAAATACATATCCTTAATCTTTAATCAATCTCTATATCCTAAATCATAACTTCAAACATAAACTATACATTCTGTGTAAACATACAAATTTTTGAAATGATGACCAAAATGATAATCTTGATATTAATTTAATATTTCCAAACTTAAATATCAATTTATTATGTTCAAAAATAAAAATTTAAACGTAAATTACAAAGTAAAAAATATAAATTTTGAAGTAAGATATAATTAAGAAAAAATATTTACAAAACAAATTATCAAAGATTGAAGGGCAAAAAAATTTATAACGAATATCTTCTTTCTACGAAATCTTTTTTAAAGCATTATAAAATAGCCACAAAATGTTATGGTTTGCCACGTTTTTTGTACATGCTTGAAACCCTAAACCCTAAAATGCTTTTAAACCCCAACCCCTAAATATAAACCTTGAAACTCTATAATTTTTCATAAGTTAACTTAAATCGTAAATTTAAATTCATAATTTAATTTCAAATCATTATTTAAACCCCAAATACTATATACCAAACCCTAAACTGTAAACCTAAACCCTATGCCCTAAATCATAAATCTAAACATCAAATCTTATTTTAAAATCTAAAACACTAAACTTTATTTTTAGATCTTATCTTTATCCAATTCCCCTTTCTAAAAAAATATATATTCCATACTCAACTTTACTATACATACATGCAATACTCTAAATATAAACTTTAAACTAAATTATTAAAAAAATTAACTACAAATCTTAAATATAATATTCAAATTTAATATTTTCATACTCTAATCCATTATCTTAAATCATACCATTCATATTCCAACATTCAAATCTTAGATCATAAATCTAAAATTTACTCTTAATCATAATTTTCTTTTAAAACTATATAATCTAAATTTAAAACTTTTCAATTTGTATCAAACATACAAGTTTAATATTTTATCAATAAAATCCAGTTCAATATAAATATATTTTAACCATAAAAAATAAATAACTAAGCATTAATTGTTTTAATCCAAGGGTTAGAAATCCATAAGTAATTTTAATCCAAGGCTTACAAATCTATCATTTGGTTATCCTCTACCTTCTTTCTTATTGGTCAGTTTTTATATTACAAGGATAACAATTCTTAACCTAAATCACAAATATCTCTCTCTCACGTCTCCTTCTCACCACCCCAGCCGCCATCTCTATCTCTCACGCCTCTCACCACCCCCAGCCGCCATCTCTCTCTCTCTCTCTCTCACCACCACCACCACCACCCGCCATCTCTCTCTCTCACCACCACCACCACCACCCGCCATCTCTCTCTCCCAACCACCACCACCACCCACCATCTCTCTCTCTCTCTCTCCACGGATCTTGACGAGACGAGGTGACTGGAGGATGCACAAGAGGCGTTCTTCACCACCATCACTACCGTCACCCTCGTCACCATCTCCACAGGTCAACTCTCTGTCTGTTTGTCTCTCTTCTCCTCTCATCTAATCGGTTTTTTTTTTACAGATCTGAGATGGAGCAGTGAAAAACTAGAAAGGATAAGTAGTGGTGTGACAAGGCGGCAAGTCCGGTTAAGCGTGGTGCGGCTGTGGTGAAAAATCCGGTGGTTGTTGGTGGTTCGTGGACGGTGGCTTAATCTTTGCGAAGGTGGTGATGGCGGCTGAAGCTTTGCGAAGGTGGGATGGTGGCTGAAGATTAGGTTTAGGTTTAGGTTTAGTTAATCAATTGGTTTAGTTAGGTTTACTTAGTTAATTGGTTTAGTTAAAATTAGAATAATATATTTATGTATTATTGGTTTAGTTTTGTAAACCAAAATTTATTGTAAATTTAATTTAATTTATAAATAAAATTTATTTTATTTTTAATTATAAAAAAATTTTAGTTTTATTTTTAATTTTGTAATTATAATTTTTTTTAGTTGTCGAACTACCTATAATAGCACGAAATTAGTGCTAATAACTAAACTAATAATATCATACGAGTAATGCTATCGTATCTGTATATTTTATTGCGTTAAAAAAATGCTATCGTAGAAGGGATATCTATGATGGCTGCCGTATACATAGCATTTATGAAAACGCTATCAAACATCTAATATAGCATATAACCCGCGCTAACAATGTCCATATTTCTTGTAGTGTTTGATCCAGTGTCTAGAAGAGTACTTGTTTCCAGAGATTTGAAGTTCATGGAAGATAAAGGGTATTTTAAGGGAAAGAAGTGGGAAGACTTAGAAGATCTTTCTCAGCCGTCTGAAAAGGCTACAAGTCTAAGGTTGATCTTGGAAGGAATGGTAATCAATATGTCTCAAGATCGGAGAAACCAACCAGTACATGGTACTAATGAAGCTGAAGAACCATCACACATTGATCAAGAAGGGGGAAATGAACCTGAGGCTGGAGGTCAAGAAGATCAAAGCTCAGGAGGTCCTGATCAAAGTGTGATACATAATGAATAAGAAGTTGTTCAAGAATTTCAGAATGAAGGCTATGAACACCAGGGACAAGAGACTGTGGAATCTAGTCTAGTTCCCTTGAGGAGAAGCACACGGATAAGGAAGGATCCTTCCAGCTGGGTAAACACTAGAGTGTACGACATGCCCATGCTGTTAAGCCTCCTTCTCAGGCCGTGTGTTCCCTTACTGAGTTCCCTAAAGACCATTGTGCGTTTATAGTAAGTCTAGATGAGAACATATACCAAGGTCTTATGAGGAAAAAATGGAAGACAAGGAATGGAGAGAATCTGTGGTGGCTGAGGCTGGTGTTATGATCAATAACAACACCTGGTATGAGAGTGAACTTCCCAAGGGAAAGAAAGCTATCTATTGTCTAAAACAATGACCTAGAGCTTGGTACAACAAGTTGAGCACTACTCTAAATGGCCGTGGCTTGAGGATATCCGAGCTTGACCATACTCTCTTCACCTTGACTACATCATCAGGTATTATCTGTCTACTTATGTATGTTGATGATATCATCATCACATGTAGTGATAAGGATGGTATACAAGCCACAAAGGAGTTTCTGAAATCTGTGTTTGAGATTAAAGATTTAGGAGAAATGAAAAACTTCCTTGGGATTGAGTTGTGTAGATCCAAGGAAGGTTTGTTTATTTCTCAAAGGAAATATACACTTGATATCTTAAAAGCTGCAGGTTTACTTGGAGGCAAAACTTGCAAGATGTCCATGGAGGATGGGTATAAGGTTCCACGTGAGGGGGAGACTGAAGACAGCAAGCCATTTCATGATCCAAAGCTTTATAGAAAGCTAGTTGGTAAGCTAATCTATCTTACAATCACTCGACCTGATATTTGCTTTGCTGTGAATCAGGTGTGTCAACATATGCAAGTTCCTAAGGAGCATCATTGGAGAATGGTGGAAAGGATACTGATGTACCTGAATTGAACTATTATAAAAGGATCAAGAACCCACCATCTAACTGGGTCAACAGACGAGTATATTATAATGATCAGGCAGTAGAACACCCATCTCAAGCTCTTTGTTCCTTTGCCCAATACCCTGAGGAGCATTGTGTATTCATGTCTACATTGGATAGCAGCTATCTTCCACAACCTTATGAGGAAGCAATGGCTGATAAGGAATTGTTAGAATCAGTGGCTGCGGAAGCTAATGCCATGATCAAAAACGAAACATGGTATGAGAGTGAACTACCTAAAGGAAGAAGGTTGTAACAAGCAGGTGGATCTTCACCATAAAGTATAAAGCTGATGGAACCATTGATAGAAAGAATACCAGATTGGTAGCAAAAGGTTTCACTGAAACTTATGGTGAGGATTACATAGACACGTTTTCTCCTGTGGCCAAGTTTCACACCATTAGGATTGTGTTGTCCCTTGCTGTGAACCTTGAGTGGGAGCTTTGGCAAATGGATGTGAAGAATGCCTTCCTACAAAGAGAGCTTGAGGACGAGGTTTGTATGCATCCTCCTCCTGTCTTGGAACAATTGGTAAAGAAGGGCAATGTTCTAAGGTTAAAGAAGGCAATATATGGTCTCAAACAGTCTCCAAGAGCATGGTACAACAAACTGAGTACCACTTTGAATGGGAGGGGCTTCAAAAAGTCTTGAGTTAGATCACACTCTCTTCACTCTCACGACCCCCTCAGGTATTGTGGTCCTTCTTGTGTATGTTGATGACATTATCATCATAGTATTAAAGCTACCAAGGATTTCTAAAGTCAGTGTTTGAAATTAAAGATTTGGGAGAGATGAAATACTTCTTAGGCATTGATATAAGTAGGTTCAAGGAGGGTTTATTTCTGTCCCAAAGAAAGTACACACTTGATCTTTTAAAATATACAGGTATGCTAGGAGGGAAGACAGCCAAAATGCCCTTAGAAGATTGATACAAGGTTCCACGTGAGGGGGAGATTGCAGATATCAAGATATTGCATGATGCCAAGCTCTATAGGAAGCTTGTTGGTAAGTTAATCTACTTGACCATTACACGGCCTGATATATGTTTTGCTGTGATTCAGGTGAGCCAGCATATGCAAGTACCAAAGGAAAATAATTGGCACATGGTGGAGAGGCTGCTGATGTATCTAAATGGGACACCTGACTTAGTTGTATGGATGGGGTGTAATGGGAGCACTGAGGTGGTAAGATATTGTGATGCTGATTCCGCAGGTGATAGAGCTGATAGAAGATCAACAACTGGTTATATTGCACTTTCATTGGAGGTAATTTGGTAACATGGAAGAGTAAGACGCAAAAGGTGGTGTCATGCTTTAGTGCAGAAGCCGAGTATAGAGCCATGCTGAAGTTGAGAAATGAGCTTGTTTGGATCAAGGGAATACTAAAGCATATGGAGATCGATATGAATACACCTATGGTAATGCATTGTGACAAACAATCTGCCATTCACATTGCATCTAACTCAGTGTTCCATGAGAGAGAACCAAGCACATTGACGTTGATTGCCATACGGTGAGGCAAATGATGGTTCTTGGAGTGACATTGCCATGCTACACAAGGAGTGAAGATCAGTTGGCTGATGTGTTTACCAAGGCAGCAAGACAAAATACCATGGAGTCCATCCTATCAGGTTAGGACTCATGGATCTTACCATACACAGCTAGTCCCCTTGCTATGGGGTCTTTTCTCTTTTCCTTATCAAGTTTTTATCTCTAAGGAGGGTTTTCTTTGTAATACACTAATAGGATGCTTCTTTGGTTGATGGGATGATAGTTCCTTGCAAGAACGAATCACAAACTCAAGTTCTTCAAGGCTTTGGATCGAATGGTGACACAAGAGGGATAAGGATCTCTTGATACTCCTAGAAGACTAGATCGGATATGACACACTGAGTTAGACACCCTTAATACTCTGGATATTACACACCAGAAGAATTTAGACAAATAGAGAGAGCCGCCAAAAATGAACAAAAGAGTTTGATAAAAAGATTGCTTAGTTCTTATTTGGGTTAACGCAAACATATATATAGGGAGAGCTAAGGAACAGGCTCCTTAGGTCTCGCAAATGTGGAAACATAAAAATCATAGTTTAAAAGCATAGCATAAGATAAAATGGATAAGTCTTCATAGTCTTGGACCAAGATAGCACCTAGGGGATTTGTAAGACAAGTTGTGGCCTCGTTAAAAACCTTCCTCCGTAAAACCCAATGGGACAAAACCAAGAGCAAGGAAAAGAGCACACACAAAGTGCCTTGCCTAAATACTAACTCAGCTAGATGTAGAGATAGCTTGAATGGTGATCAAGGTATCGCAAATACCAAAGTTACCCATTAGACTGCCTCCATGGGATTCCCTAACAAATAAATCTCTTAGAGAACAATTAGGCACACACAATCGGTTATCATAGAACAAGAATCCAACTTGACTAAAGTAATGACCTGCAGCAAACTTCTCACAAGACACATTAGCTTCTTTAAAATTAATATCGGTTTCAACATGTCCTTATTTTGTTCAAAACCTAGCAACTTAGCATCGAGAGTGGTCAAGAGAACATTCCTCCGAGATAGTGCATCAGCAACTATGTTTTCCTTACCTTGTTTGTATGATCACATAGGGAAATGTCTCAATGAACTCAACCCATTTTGCGTGTCTCTTGCTAAGCTTACTTTGCCCATTTAAGTACTTGAGAGACTCATGGTCCATGTGTATGAAAAACTCCTTAGGCCACAAGTAGTGTTGCCATTTTTGCAAAGCCCTCACCAAAGCATTGAGTTCTTTGTCATAGGTAGCATAGTTGAGAGTGGCTCCTCCAAGCTTCTCGCTGAAGTAAGGAATGGGTTTCCTATCCTGCATTAATACATCACCAATTCCGATCCCTGAGGCATCACATTCAATCTAAAATGTTTTAGCAAAATCAGGAAGCATTAAGAGAGGTGATTTAGTAAGCTTATGTTTAAGGGTTTGGAATGCGGTTTCTTGTGCTTATCCCCACTTGAATCCTACATCTTTCTTGATTACTTCAGTCAATGGAGCTGGAATAGTGCTAAAATAAGTATCCACTCATATAAACCAAGCTTAGTCTTAAATGCAGTTTTCCATTCAACTCCTTCTTTCATCCTAATCTGATGATAACCGCTTTTTAAATCTATCTTATAAAATATGCAAGAACCCTACAATTCATAAGGCATATCATCTAATCTAGGAGTAGGGTGGCGATACTTCACTGTGATGTTGTTGGTTGCTCTACAATCAACACACATGCGCCAAGTACCATCCTTCTTAGGCACAAGGAGCACTGGCAAAACGCATGGGTTCAAGCTTTCTCAGATAAGGCCCTCTTCCATGAGTTCCTCTATTTGTCTTTGCAACTCCTTGGTTTCAAACGGATTGGATCTAAAGGCTGACCTGTTTGGAAGAGTAGATCCTTGAACAAAGTC